TACTATTACCCATAAGCAGATTTTGCAAAGCAACGTTTATCAATAACAGCACATAAGTAACTAGCAGACCCGGCCACACGTTGCTGTGCCAAAGTTTCTTGTTATAGCAATTATAAATTGAGATGTAAGCTATCTTATCTTGTTGGATCAATGTGCAAACCAAACCAGTAGTTTAGGAATCCATCGCGGACAAACAACGTGACACGTAATTTTTATAATTAAAGATGTACTTACCCAAAATCTTTTACAATAATTTTTTTTATACATCATTATTATTATTATTAAAATAAATATTCTTGCAGCACTTCACATTGCATTGTCATTAAAAAAACCACCAATCGAATTGAAACATCACAAGAAGCATATCGATTCCACAGCGTTTAATAAAAGTTGTAAAGAAATTCATTGTCCAGCTAAAGAGGACCCAATGTGTATCAAATTAAAAACATATAATAAAAGTACTGTTTATGTCAACATCTTGAACAAATGCGAAATGGAATATCTGAAATGTCACCAAGGTATATCACATAGACTATAATACATAGACTTACATGTTTGACAAGATGCCTACGGCTACCTTTTACCATCGCACCACTCGCCATCGACAGGGAATTCATTCCCACACGCTGGAACCTGTGAAGTGGGAACTGGTCTCGGACAGTGCGGTTTCAGAGGAGCTTCCTACCGCGTACACTTAGATTGTGGAATGAACTACCTGCCGAGGTTTTCTCGAGAGACTACAGCATGGGGTTTTTTAAGAAGGGTATATTAAGGTTTCTTTAGGGTCGGCAACGCGCATGTGACACCCCTGGTGTTTCAGGCGTCCATAGGCTACGGTAATCGTTTACGATCAGATGGGCCGTATGATTGTTTACCACCTACGTGCTATAAAAAAAGACAAAGATATTCGTACCTTGAATCTTGAACAGCTAGTTGCTCTTCAAGTGTTGGTGGTATATCGAATAAACGCAGATGTAGCAGTAGATGTCACTAAATGTCTTAACTAAATTACACCCTATACACTAGCTAATACACAATATCAACAGTTTCAATAGTTCACATTCATATTTCAATTAATTAAAAAAAAAATTAATAAATTCAAATTGTATTTGACTAATAAATTCTGTCATTGTAAAAAAAATAAAAAACAAAAAATTCAAAATTCTAAAATCATTTATTAATGTAGGACATTTTAGCCGCTTATGAACGTCAAGTTTTTTACATTATATTTTTTTTTTCTACCGTCCAGTTCGGTATATAGATCCAATTGAGAAGAACTGGCAAGAAACTCAATTGAATTACTTTTTTTTAAAAGCCAGTTAATTTACAATATATTGTTAGATTAAAAGTTACGTATTAACATCATGTCGTTCGTATTTTATTAATAATATCTATTAAAATCTAGGTCATTTCACTCTGAATATCTCCCAATTCAACAAATATTTATGACATCTACGAATTTTTCATTTTATAATTAACGACAGTCAACAACTATTGCTAGGCAACACTCACTATAGGTATCACATCGCAATATAGTTTTAGCGTCTGTATTGTTACCGCTATTATTTATGTTATGTTCAGCTGGTACTGGCAGCGACAGGAGGAGGAAGATTAAATAACGAGTCCAGATTGTTGTTATGTACATATTTATAATTACGATGAATATATAGGTATGTACAAGAAAGTGATTCGGTCTCGAATGACAGGCCTGTTATTTTATTCTTCTGTCGTAACTAGGCAACGGTGTTGCCGCGCGATTATAATTAATTCGCCACATAGTCTATGTTACAACGAGGTTTGCAATCGATGTCTAGACTGGCTGGTATGGCAAATAAAATATGTTCGAATATTTGAAAAGAGTGTGTTTTGTCATCTTTTCTGTCATCGTATTGGTCCGTATAACTTATCTATATTATTGTATATTGTATTAAATGTATTTTTATATTACTTTATCTTGATTAGAAATATATTTTGTTTATCTTATTCTACGTTGTTTATTGGACACCATTATAGTTACTCTGTTAATGTGAGGCAAGTACAGGGTAACTTCCCTTACAGACTTTGATATTATATACAGTATTTGACACATAGATTCTAACACATAGCCCATGGAAAAAATTACCTGTGAAATGAATCAACGTGACACACACACATGCACACGCGTACATGCAAAGCAAGCTGCTTGGTAACTGAAAGAAGTAAGACGTAAGACCTTCTTCAATAAAACCTTCACAAATTTTAATTCCACGCGAACAAATATAAATTGACAATCAAAGGTTTTTTTGTGTCTGCTAAAATCGAACTTGCAATCCCTCCGTTTAAAAGTTTAAACCCATATGCCGCGACGCCGAATTTACGACCTACAATTACGATTGGATTCTCATTTACAGGAGTTGAAGCTATTGTCGTTCCAATGAAACATTGCACCCATATTCATCACGGAAATGGTGGTAAGTACGTATACAAATCAGCCCCGGATCAGGGGGGGGGGGGGCAATATGGGTTACAATCTGATAGAGACATCGACCATACTTCATCCCAAGTATCAAGACTATGTGTGTCATATAGGTACAGAAAGTTTTCCTAGTAGATTTAAAGAAGCTATTGAGAGAAAGGATAGAGCTGAATGGAAGAAGGACATGGCAAGCGAACTCCTGTCCTTTAAAGAGTGATGTGTGGACATTGTATGTCATATACGTGCTTTATCATCATTACACAGTATAAAATAAAGTCGCTATCGCTGTCTGTCCGTCCCTATACATGCTTAAATCTTTAAAACTACGCAACGGATTTTGGAGCGGTTTTTTAATAGAGTGATTCTGTACTTCTGGAGGAAGGTTTATATACATAATACATGTACTCCCGTACGAAGCCGGGCGAGTAGCTAGTAAACTATAAATAATAGTGTTAAAGTGTTGATGTTGGGGGGCAAATTATGGGGGCGACGTGGTGGATACGTAATAGTGGAAGGTGAATACATAACTCATCATTTTTAACGCATATTTGACAACTTGACCAATGACAGAAGAACGTCAAGTAAATTATGTTCAATGCATTTGAAAATGAAGATATAACTATTAATAAAGCCACTATAATTATAAATAAATAAATAAAATTAATGGCAATACTAATTGGACAAATTGTTTATTAATAAGCATTTTACAAAATAATTACCGGAGTTTTTTATTCGGTCTGTTTTTATTCAAAGTGATCTTAACTTTTTAAAAAAAATACTGTTAATTTCGATCTATAATATTGACATTGGCTAAATGCAAAGGCAAAGCCAAAGATGGAGAAAAAAAAAATGTTTGACAATTCACCAGAAACTATGTTAATTTCATATCTTTAAGTGAAACTCGCCATAAGTCAAAAACTGTATCTAAGAACTATTTAAATTATAAAATATCTAAGCTTCTACCAATTCGCTAATTTAAAAAAATATCTATAAAATAAAATGTTTTTCATTTACTCAGAACCCCGAAATATAGGACGAGCGAAACGCAGCTTCACTGATATTGGTATGTATTCTTAAGGATTAGATACTTAATTTAATCAATAAGTATTTAGGTAGGTGTTAGTTTAAAAAATATATAGTTTTGTATAGTTGGCGACAATTTATTTGAGTTCTATTCTGACGCTCAATTTCATAGTTTGGTCGCCGTTTATTGTCACATTAACGTGATTTGAACTCAAATAAAAGGATTAATAATTTAAAACTCCTGATATACATTTTCGATCTATGCCCCGCTTACCCTGACTAAAAAAATCTGGAAACGCTGGTGTAGATCCAATGACGGGGTAGATATAATGAACCAATTTTGATTTCTTTTGTGTTAGATAGCTCATTTATCGAATAAGACTGTTAACTTTCACATTACTCTGCTCATATTATTTGTAGCGTGATATAGTTTATAGTATTAGTCGATCCAACACTAAACGAATTTTTCAATTTTATCCAGTAGTTCCTAATTTAACGCGCTTTACCAAACACTTCATCTTTACAATATTGTATAGATATATACTAGATTATTTTTTCGCAGATTATTTCTCTAATAAACTTTTTGTGGGCAAAATGTCTAAAATATCAATTTTTGGTAAAGAAAATAATAATAATTACGATAAGTCACAATATGTTTAATGATAATTATTATATAAGCGATCAAAATAGTATTGATAAAACGAGAAAAAACCTAAATTTCCAGACGATAAAATAGACAGTCAAAAAGAAACCACCGTTAAAGGCAATTCTGTGATAGATGACAATACTGTAACAGGACAAACAGAGATTGCAACAGACGGTAATGGTGAAACACAGAGTAAAGAAAATGAAGAAAACGCTGATAATAATGGTCAGTTAAAAGATACTAAAACAAAAACTAAACTTTCATTTTTACTAAAATGAGACAATCTAATATAAATATTTCCAGACGATAATATAGACAATCAAAAAGAAATCATTGGTAATTCTGAGGTAGACGAAAGTACTGTAGGACTTGCAGACACTGGAACTAACAGCAACAGTCAAGGCGATATTGAGCAGGATAGCAATGATGGTGACAAGAGAGGTATTTTATTTATGAAAACTTACTACTTACTATAAGTTGTAGCAGATATTGGTGCAAGACTGGCAATATTTCATGACGCTGCACACATATATTCTGGTAAAATTAATTTTATTGTTATCCTGAAATATCTTCTAATATTATAAACGCGAAAGATAGTGAGTATGGGTAGGAATAGATAGTTGGATGAAAGATTGTTTGTTACTCTTTAAGCAAAAACTAACTCAACGGATTTTGATGAAACTGTATAGTAAAATGTTGCTTATTTGTAGCTTCTACATCAGAATAACACATAAGGTATAAATTTGATGGGGTTGAAACCGTTCGTTTGATTGTGGAAATTTAAAAAATAATACTATTTTTTTTATTATAGACTTAATATCTAATAACATAAAAGTATACGTTTAATTAACTAATTATATGACTGACCTTTCGCAGATGAACATTCTAATAAATATTTTAAAGAAAAAATGTTTCTTTCATACATGTTTGGAAAAGAAAATGAAGAAGATACTGCTAATGATAGTAAGTTAACGATATTTATATAAAAATATTTATTTTAGCTTTTAAAACATTCTGGCTTTACTAAAATAAGAAAAATATATCAAATTTCCAGACGATAATTTAGACGGTCAGAAGGAAATTACCAATGATGGTGATCCTACGGCAGATGACAGTACTGTAGGACCTGCAGGCATCGATATAAACAAGAATAGCCAAGAAAATGATGCAGAGGATGGCAATGATGAAAACACGGAAGGTATTTTATTTATAAATAGTTATTAGTATAAGTTGCGGCAAATATTGGTATAAATGTATATTGTGCATCTGGTCCAATAAAGGGTAAAAGTTATTAAATAAAACTCGAAAATTTAAAATTTCCAGGTGATGAGATAGACAGTCAAAAAGAAAGCGCTCAAAACGGAGATCCTGAGGAAGATGACATTGGTGTAACGACACCATCAAACGATAATGATCCAAACATTAGTAAGGACAGTGCCAATGATGAAAATGCGGAAGGTAATTTTACTAATACCACAGATAACATAATATTACAATCTTGTACTCATTAATTCTTTACCACTCTCCATTCGATCTGCTCAATCTCACGCAATATTTAAAAATCGTCTAAGGTCTCATTATCTCTCTTTATAGCGAGTTTGCTTCGTGCCAGAAATCGAAGTCTTGACCGTTGGAAGTAGAGCGATGTGCTAAACTGCTTGACCATCTAAGCCGTCAAATATAGCATAATTCTATTAGTGAAATATTTTGTAACAATGCCTTAAACCATCTGATCCTTATTTCTTGCTTTTAATTCGAATGGTAGTATAAAAAAATATGACTGTTTAAGAGCGCTTCGATTAAGTTAATTTGGGTAAAAATTAATTCTGTTTCTGTGATAATTGATAACAATGACAAAGGTACATATATAATATTTTCATGCAAATTCTAGAAGAAAACGTAGATAATATAAAAGAAGAGAAGATGGAAAGTGTTGGAGACGGTAATGAAATAATATCGCAGACGAAACATCCAGATTCAGTATCGAGTGTAGAAAATTATACAGAAAAGGACCAATCTGGTGTTGTTAATAAATATGAAGAAGGTAGGTCACTTTAAACGAAGTAAGTTTTACCTGTTTTTAGTCTCACCTAATTCAGCCGCTAAGCAGCTTGCTTTGTAAGATGCAAAACTGCAAGTCCAGATATAGTAAACAGTAGATTTTGATAACCTTTTTCTTTAATAGCACAAATTATAACTTTCTTTTCTCACTATCTTACCGCCTTCTATCTTCTTACCGCTCTCATCCACTTCCTCTTCGTAGCAGTCTTTAACTCTTAATCTTCATTCTATATATTGCTTGTAGTCTGTTGGCCTTAATTGAATCATTCTTCGCGACACATGTAATGGAAACTTAACTAATCTCTAGACGATGGCATCACTACATTCACTAGGAATTTATAGTCTCTAAGGAGAACGGCAGATTGATATAATCTGACGTGATACATTGGCACTAAAGGGGTCATAAGCCACTTTACTAATAGTTCCCTTCTCCCCACAGATGAAATACTAGATTATGACAGCAAATGTCCGACGTCATGTCCTGCTCGCAGTGTCATGGTGTGTGGAAGATGTCAGCATGGTGTTTACAGGACTTTTCTGAGCATCTGTCATATGAGATTATTCCACTGCAAATATTCTTTTGAGAGTAAGCATTAGACATGTATCTTTCTGTGTCTAAATTACGTTGCAATATAAAGTACTGGGGAAACAGCTTAAAATATAATATCATCTGAGCTTTCACTGTACAAAATAGACCTATACGTGCAATGGTACGAATACGAAAGGGCCCTCTACTGGACACTGCAAATTGAATAACACAGGGCTAATTAGGACTTAGCTTAACAATAATTTGCAAATTTTGCCAAGCAGAACTATACATCCTATGTGGTTGTAGCCCTCTCATGCATAAATTAAATATCTCCTTTGGAAAGTATACACTCTATTCTGAGGAGATAAAAATCAGAATATCCTTCAGTTCTTGGCCCTTACGGAACTAGGTAACAAACTTCGAAAAAGGGCGATCACAGTAGATCTATGTAGAGTGCTATAGATGGACCATAAGTTTGTTTGCCACCTACGGTAATATAAAAATATCAGCTTATTTTCAATATATTTATAAAATTTTAATTGAATTAATATATTTTTAAAGCTAGATATAATTTTATCTTTTCAGATTTAGAACTAGTGTCAAGGAATCCATGCATGCTATCAGCACCATTTTTAAACAGCAGCCCTGATCTGAATATGCAACCAAAAGGACGTGTACAGAAAGTGGCTGACGACAGAATACTACGTTTCATACATTGTAGAAATAGAGCAGAATTATTAGAAAAATTAGAGAAAGGCAAATTATTAACAACTGGTTAGTACAAAAACATTCTTTAATGTAATATTAATAGAAATCATCGCACAGCCAGCCGTCGATAGGGAATTCATCACCACACGCTGGAACCTAAGCGGTCTCGAACAGTGCGGTTTCAGAGAAGCTTCCCGCGTACACTTAGATTGTGGTGGACTGGTCCCCACCAACTTGTTGCCCACCTTCATGAAAGAGGACTACTGGCCGAAAGGTGTGGTATATCGGCGCTACCCTGGCAGATTGCCATCTTCAGTGCCGTAATCACACAGACAATATCAATGTATTAGTTTTTAAATATTATATTATACTAGCTGTCCCGGCAAACGTTGTTTTACCATATAAATTAATAACGCTATAAAAAAATAGGGGTTGATGATAGAAGGGTGAAAATTTAGGATTGTATGTATTTTTGTATGTTGTATCATAGAATCGGGGATGAAAAATAAATGTTGGCCGATTCTCAGACCTATTCAATACGCTCACAAAATTTCATGAGAATCGGTCAAGCCGTTTCGGAGGAGTATGGGAACGAAAACATTGACACGAGAGTTTTATATATAAGATGTATAGTATAGTCTATAAGGTATTTATAATATGGGCCTAGTTGCCTGAAATAAATGAATAAATAAATTACTAACACACCTCTTTGCCCCCTTGTGCATCACTCTCTCTTTCACACGAGTGAGATCCGTGATACTCATGCGTTGAAATTCCAGAGGAATAAACTGTCATCTCTCTTATTTTATTTCGCTGGCTAATTTCTTAAAGCATTTAAAGATTTGCCAGACTATGGAAAACTCGTCTGCGTATGTACCTCAGTCTCATCTATTTCAGCCGGCAAGCAGCTTGCTTTGTGTTATGAGAAGATGAGTGTAGAATACAAGCCACTTATTTAGTTTATAACCTATTTTATATGCTTTATACTTCCAATACCAAAATTCTATTCTAAATTGTCACTGCTATCTATTGTTCCCTTTCGGTGTCCCTTCCTGGCCCTAGTTAGTAGTGTTTCTTTATAATGTACTCTTATAATATACAATATATATATATATATCCTACAATTCCGTGGTTTTCTTTATCGCCCTTGTGTTTAGGTTGTAGGGTGCAGATTGCGTAGTGAAATTACAATAAACGATTGTTACCCCTAAAGCATGCAATACATACGTTATATTATTATTATATACATATTTTATATCAAAATAATAATTGCTAGTGTTAGGGTTCACATCGATATTGAAAAATATGATATTTTATATTAAAAGAAGATAGTTTCATTATTACTGGGTATTGTTAAACTAGTTGCATATAACCCCCACTCATATCTTCTCTGTATAAATGGGAGGGTTTTTATAGGCCGCGGTATTCGGTCTTTGAGCACAGGATGTGCTGGTTGTATTTTAATCGATAAAGTGAATTGTGTTAGAGACATAGTTAAATTAATGTTATATAGTTGTTATTTTATTATAATACATACTTTTACTAGTACATAGTTGATATATCTAACACTTGTAATAATTTAATAGTGGCTAGTAAGACAAATCCAATATTGTGTACTAAGCACTGCTGTGTCTAAACTGTGTCACCCCACCTCACATTTTCCTATTGTCATTTAATATATAAAATCAATATTTTTATGTACATTTTATTAGTCCATTATCATCTGTATTATCATCGTCTTAACCAACAACATCGTATCAATAACCCGCAACACAGTACAATAATTGTAGCAACTGTGCAACTTCTGCTGCGTTTCATTCCTCACCTTTTGCAATATTTTTCATTGCAGCTCCGCTTCTATTAGTCGTAGCATAATGTTATATAGATTAAAGCCTTCCTCGACAAATGGACTATCCAACACAAAAATAATTTTTCAATTCGAACCAGTAGTTCCTGAGAATTAGCGCGTTCAAACGAACAAACTCTTCAGTTGTATAATATTTATAGATGTACAAAATATACAATAATAAGATATATAAAAAACAAACAATACATTCTTTCTTTTCTCTTCTTAATCGTTCCCTCACTGCTGAGGATCGTGACTCTATACTATCTTGTCGACTAGCCGTCGCCGTCAGCTGCGCTCGGATGCCTGATGTATTGCGGCGCTGACAGTAATGTTCAGTTGACGTGATATTTGATCTGTCCATCGGATGGGACTTCGGCCTCGAGGTCTTTTACCTTCTATCTTTCCTGTTACCATCAGTAAGTAAATACATTCTTTAAGCAATATTAATTTATTAACAATTTTTTTCAGTTGCTGCAAATTGTAATTTTGATGACTCCACGCGTAAAACGAAGTAAAAGGACGTAGTTGAAAAATATGTATATATTGTTTTCAGTGAAGAAATGAAAATGTACTTTTAATTTTCAACATACGTTTTATTTAATAATACAAAACAAAAACAACATATGCCATCTACTACATTCTGCCTTTTCTCCTCTACTCAAAGGTTGTCTGAAAGAGATGGCTTAAGCAATAAGACCGCCATTTGTTTCTACATATTACCACAGATAACATAATATTACATAATATTACTAATAGATATTATAAGAATGGATGGATGGATTTCGCGCAAAAACTACTGAACGGATTTTGATAAATCTTTGATAGCTTACACATCACCATTACACATATATTTAAAATTAAATGAAATAATAAAAGAATATTTTTTTTTCCCTTATTCGTCCATCTCCTTTTCAGTGATGGAACAGGCAAAGATCTTTAGACCGTACAGCCTAGTCTACGTTTAAACTTCTTCATATTTGAACAACTGATGAGGCCAAAGGCCAATTCTTATGTATGTTTATTCATTATGTTTTCATTCGTGTTCAAAATTTAAGTCTTATCCATAGTCCATATCCTTGTATCAATTATTTAAAGTTCTATCGATATAGAGGTAACGTATAAATATATAGGTATATATGTTTCAAAATTAGTTAGCATGTCTTGGATGTCGCGCGGGATTATTAAAATTTATTATGTAAATTGGGCGAAATATAATGACAGATGTCAAGTAAGAATGCATACGATACATAAGAGTCATGCAGACGAATTTGCACGAGTTAGCCTGTCTTACCCAATTTACACTCAGCCCAAGTGGGCAGGGAAGCGAGCACGGAAGTGAAAAATGCAGGGCGAGAGTGTAAACACGAGTGAAAACGCTTCCATGCCATTGGCGCTGCCACTCGCGCGCTGCCCGGCGCTCCCTCGATTGTCGGTGTTTCGTGCGCGAGTCAAAGGACTGGCAGCGCGAGTGGCAGCGTGTTTTTACATTCAGCCCTCTCGCTCAATTGTCGCCCGGCAATATTTCTGGCAGCGCGAGTGGCAGGGGAAGCGGCTGAATGTAAACGTAGCAATAAATGTGAATGTTTGTGAGTATGGATGGATGGATCTTTGTTGCTCTTTCGCAAAAACGACTGAACGCATTTTAAACTTTACAGTAAAAAATGCGGGTGAAACCACGGGAACAACTATATTTGTATTTGTATGTGGAATTAGTATGTAACGGAACGACCGTGTTAACTGAATGATGTATGCATGAATTGAAACGTGAATGACGAGATAATGCATATATACGAGAAGGGAAATAAACTCCTCCAATCGATCCCCCGTCCAATTCAAACGAGGATCGATATTACGACGGCCTGAGCCGAGGTTCGAACCCCTAGCGGTGCCCTCAGACTAAACTCGTATCCGTCAGGCGGGAGTTCGCTTTCAGCCACTCCATAAGTCCTTCCGCGGGTTTGGAGTGCCATCTGCACTCGCCCCCTATCGTCCGGTGAGGCTGTAAAGGCCAGCTGCGGCCATCAGCATTAGAGTAGTCCGAAAAAAAAATAAACGAGTGAATTAAACACTAGAATGAGGAACAACTAATATTTCTTGCTGAATATTAGAAATTTCTTGTAAAATTCGTAACGCGCAGAAATTCTATTATTTCTACTCCTCGGACCAACATTTATATACATACATATAAATAACAGTCAACTGTCTATTTGTAATTGAAAAATTCGCGCATCGCAATATCGCAAATCATTGATCACTGTTTGAATCCTTGTATTTGGAACTGCTGACGATCTCGTAATATCTACCGTTGACCTTCAATTTCTTTATTTCAGCAGGTAATCGCTCAACATCAGTCAACTCGAGCCGACTGCCGTAATTCAGATTGTCCCCGTCCTCGTCAGAAACGTCCAAAATACCGTCGTCCTCGGGATGATATGGGTTGTTGTATGCCCTTTGATATTTACCACGATTTTTTATATCATCCGCAGCAATATTAAAAGGTAAGCCATAGTAGAAACACGTTGAAATTATTACTGCAACATTGAAACTTTCTGGTAAGTTATAGTAAAAGGATCTATATAAATACGATACATACACCAATATAACATTTTTTACAATTTTTGTCTGATTGTTCCGGCTAATCTCTAAAATAGCTGGACCGATTTTGACGGGACTTTTTTGGCAGGTAGCTGATGTAATAAGAAGTAACTTAGGCTACTTTTATTTTAGAAATATAAAGTTAAATTCCACGCGAACGAAGTCGCGAGTACAGCTAGTATTCATATAAAATAGGTACAATCCTTGCTAATATTAGGTATAAATGTGAAAGTAGCTCTGTCTGGCTGTCTGTCTAAAAATATTTTAAGAGCATGATGAAAGATCGTGGACAGTGGCAAGAGCTCCACCGACAAGAATCTCGCCCTTAAGTTGTCTTAAATTATGAAAATTTAAAATTTGGTAAACACAAATATGATTGTTTGTATTGGTCTGGGCGTTTTCTATATACATTATGATATTTACAAAAAAAAGTATATCTATCAGTTTTCTAGTACCCATAACGGAAGTTCTGCTTAGCTTGGGACTAGATGGTGCTGTGTTAATTGTCCAGGGAAATTATTATTATTAATAAGGTCGACCTCGACGCAGTCCCTCCTGGAAACCAGCGTTGGTTTCCAGGAGAGACCGCGTTTTCGCGTTTCTAACAAATTCGTCACGATGTGCTAATTGACCTGACCTCATGCTCATCCTATCATCCTCCACTAGTGCCTCGCCAGCGTACCGTTAGTGCAGGCGGGTGCACATTTTCATTATCATATACAGAAAAAAAAACTATGTGTAGTACAGTCAGGTTGACGTCTACTACGCGATCCCCCTTGGAGACAATTGGGATAAATTCCTGACAAATACTCCACGTAGTGCTAACTCCTCCACTGGTGCCCCGACAGCGTATACTATCAATACAGATAGGCAATGCTTATCCCTAAATGATTCTGCTTACCTTGTCTATGGAAATAGTCGTGAAGGTATTTTATATTATTATTATTTGTTGACTTACAAATAAACACAGCGCATTCCATTTCTTATATTTGAGTTACGTATCACATTGCCAAAATTTCTTTTTATTTCATGATGCCTAACACATTTTTTTTTATGTGTGTCTTCTATATAGAGTGGGTATTAGGATTTTTCGGTCACGAAAAAGCGTTACTGTCACGTGGAGAGGGCAGACGAAATATGGGGTTGTGAGAGAAAAAGGCTGACGAAGAGAGGACAACGGCAGCCCAAGTTTCAATTGTACTATGTTTAATATTAAGTATTCGCAATTTATTTGAATAAACTATAACAGTCTAACAACGCAAGTAATAATAAATATGAATTTACCTACAAAAGGTAAAATCATAAAAAACAATCAAATAACTGGATGCATTTATTACAAATTTCATGCCAATATTACAATATCAATGTTTGTATCAAACGTAATAATTTTTTTTATTTGTTCAAGGCATTCGGAGTAATGGAGTCGATTTAAAAATCATTTTTATTGTACAAACAAAACAATAGATAAAACTTTTACCTTCGTTAAACACAGTGTGTAAACACAGACAGGGCTCAATAATATATAGAAAAAATGGTAAATACACAACTTTTACATCTTATATATATCCTTACTAATATTATAACTGTGAAAGTAACTTTATCTGTCTGTCTGTCAGTCTCACTTACACGCTAAAACTACTGAACCGATTTAAATCCAAAATTTGCTACACAGTTAGTCTAGACCCTGAGAAAGGACATAGGCTACTTTTGAATACGATAGAAAGGTTATAAGGGGTTGAAAGAGTTATGTATGGAAGTGTCATTTTTGAAGATGAAACGATGAAACTTTTTCATTTAGATTTTATTGGTTTAGGTCATTAAATATTTTTTTCATTATTTTGTCAAGGTTACTATTTTCGCGGACGAAGTCGCGGGTACAGCTAGTACTTATATAAAATTGTCGTGTCACAATCTTAGTTACCATACTCCTATGAAACGACTCGACTGATTTTTATGAAATTTTATATGTGCTTATTCAATACATCTGCGAATCGGCTACTGTCTGTTATTCGGACCCCTAAATGGTAATGGTTGTCCATCCTTAATGCATTTTAAACATTAGGTACATTATCATATTTATTAATTTTCATTATCTATAAACAACCCTTATTTTTTAAAAGCGATTTTAATATATATGGCAAAACAACGTTTGCGGGGTCACATAGTTGTAGTACAATTTTTATTTATTTATTTATTTATTTATTTTTCCACACTTACATCTATTTTTACAGGTCTTAGCCTAATACAATAGTGCAGCAAACATTATTTTTTAAATTATTTATAACTTATAATAAATAAAGCGATCTTCGTGAACTCATTCAGAGAACAAGAAAATAGATCTATTTGCTCCGTTATATGATTCAATGTACGCAGTGCTCTTGTGACCGGTGCTTTGCCTAGTAAGTGTGTGGCCCCGCGCGGCACAGCCAGCAGTTGCGGTCGACGGCGACTTTGTAAGACTGGAAATATGTCTTGAATCGTTTTGGAAATTACGCATTACATATTTTTACTCATACATTTAGCAGCTATAGCTGTACCGCTCATATTCACATCATGTTCCTTTGTATCAGCCGGATGGTAAAAAGAAATCTGTTTACATATGAGACTCAATACTCTTATCTCAGAAATGAAACAACGATTACAGAGATAAATTTATGATTTAATAATTAAAATATAACAAACGTCACTCTTCAACAGCTCGTGCCCAAGTCACCCATAATCAACGAAATCAACCACTCCCAATAACAGATCTTATTCACGAAATATATACTGACGGCGTGATTGACTGGAGACTGACAGTGTCTATTGTCCTAGAATGACACTATCAACGTATGTATGACATGACACAAGGCTATAATCTTACTTAGTATTGTCGATACATATATTTACAATCATATATTACAAGTAAATGATGCAATCCCGAATGACGAGGTTGTTATTTTCTTTTAACATTGTAACTAACCTACAGTGTTCCCGCGCAGTGTGCTCAGTAAATCTGCCGCATAAATGTTTATATTTCTTGATGATAAACTCGTATGTTTGCGGAATTGTAGGTCCCTCTAATATTCATCATCTGCTACTTACATTGAGGTTTGCCTTCTAATTTTCAAATTCCTTAAATGCATTTCCCTGTATTCATGATTAGGGAGATAGGGATCTGTCAGGTTCTCCATACACGCACAACATGTAATTATGCCTGTCTTAGGATTCTTCGTATAAATCAATGATCGGTTAACGGCCAATTTATGTAGATTATTGTCTACGTGATTAACCATCGCCACTTCACCTGATATGAGTATGTTACAAACAATGCAATGAAAAGATTCAATATTTGTTTGTACTTGTGGATACTGAAATGTTTATATCAGAAATTAGTATTTGTTTATGTAATAATACAACAAATTATCTTGGACACGTCAAGAGGAGCGTGAGGACTTTGATTAAAGGTTTTTAATATGAAAGTTGGTGGAAAAAAGTGACCAAAGAAAAGATACTCTCTTCCGGTTACACCTACTGTTTACATGAATTCCTATTGACAAAAACACATGTACCGTGTCATAAAATGAATATTTTTTTGTAAATACGTTATTTGCCTTTCTGTAGGTTGAGAGAATAAATAATATATATTAACATATACCGTCAGATGTACAAATTTTAAATAAAAACAAAATATATCTCTGGAACTTACCCTCGCAAATTTTCTTATACATTGTGCATTATATATAGGGCCCGTTATATATTTTATATGGTTCATATTCTGACAATGTACCACTATATCAGCTTCTTTATTCAGCATAATGTCACATAATAAACACCTCCAATTTACATTATAATTCCTCGTTATTCCATTAAAATTACGAATATGTACTTGATAGAAAAAGAAGTCAATAACTACATGTAAATATTTGTTTTCTAATATGTAAAGATAAGATTGTGACTTAAGTTGATTCATATGATTAGTATAATTAATATAATTAATATGTTGCTGCAATACAGATAACTCTTCATCTTCACTTGTCATAGTAATAGCAGGTACTTTGTTATGTGGACTAACTTTTTTTACTTGGTTTCTACTATTAACTTCTGTTGTATTGTTATTTTTATTATTAACAAGCACATGTACTGTAGATATTGTAGTATCGATTTTGCTAAGTTTACTTTTGTTTTTGTATATATCAAATAAGTTGGATAACAACTCGTCATGTTTAACTGCATCAGCGTGTTCTTTTGTTGATGTGTGATATATTTTATAATTAGCGTCAATGGAAACTGCGCACGCGCCACAGAAATTGTAACTAGAGTCACTGGTTGAATAATTTGGTAGTACTGTGAACATGTTTTCTCTAGCTCTCTGTATTGATACATTTGCTATTTCTAAACATGTTTTGTGTTTCAAGCTGTCATTGTGTGATTTCCAATGTATATTTGGAACTGTTACGTCACATATTATACATAAGTATGTACTTGATTCAGCGACACCTGTTAAAAAAAAATTAAAATGGTATATTGAAATTGAAGATTGTAAAACTGTAACTATTTCAGTCGCCAGGCAGATTGCTCTGTTAATTGTTTCGATTTCGTTTTGTAAGGGATTTGCCTAAAGTCGATTGTTTCAAAATATTATTTATTTATTTAATCATATATAATTAATATGTGGATGTATATAAATAAGTATGTAGGTAACATTGCTATTTATGCACTTTTGCCAACTCATAGGCAGATGATCCTTTTACTAAAAAAAACATTCGGACGGGAATCAATAAAATCTTCGAAGGCGCTTTGGATTGCCCCATTGGAGTTGATCCCTTGCAAGAAGTTATTCAAATTTCGAAAAAAATGGTAATCTGTTGGAGCAAGGTCCGGGGAGTACGGTGGATGAACTTTGATTAAAAGGTGATTAGTTTTGAAGGAAAAATTTAGATTGTGATAGACCTGTAGCTCTCATCACAATATTTGCAAAAGAATTTCAGATAGTAATTTATAATAACCTTCTCTCTATTCAGAAAAATATAAAATACTCGCTAATGAGCAAAATGGTTTTCGAAGAAATACATAAAAACATTAACTTAGCTATATATAATTTTCTTAATACTTTAATTACTAACACTGATAAGAAAATAATCACGAAAAGATCATGTCAATCAGGACATATTGATAAAAAAAATGGCGTCATATGATATAAGAGGAATTATCATTAACGAAATGTAATATCGTTCTCTGACCATTGAAGTGAATTAAACACTAGAATGAGGAACAACTAATATTTCTTGCTGAATATTAGAAATTTCTTGTAAAATTCGTAACGCGCAGAAATTCTATTATTTCTACTCCTCGGACCAACATTTATATACATACATATAAATAACAGTCAACTGTCTATTTGTAATTTCAAATTTACAGCTGTGTAGATGTCGCAAATCATTGATCACTGTTTGAATCCTTGTATTTGGAACTGCTGACGATCTCGTAATATCTACCGTTGACCTTCAATTTCTTTATTTCAGCAGGTAATCGCTCAACATCAGTCAACTCGAGCCGACTGCCGTAATTCAGATTGTCCCCGTCCTCGTCAGAAACGTCCAAAATACCGTCGTCCTCGGGATGATATGGGTTGTTGTATGCCCTTTGATATTTACCACGATTTTTTATATCATCCGCAGCAATATTAAAAGGTAAGCCATAGTAGAAACACGTTGAAATTATTACTGCAACATTGAAACTTTCTGGTAAGTTATAGTAAAAGGATCTATATAAATACGATACATACACCAATATAACATTTTTTACAATTTTTGTCTGTCTGTCTGTTTGTTCCGGCTAATCTCTGAAATAGCTAGACCGATTTTGACGGGACTTTTTGAATGAAACGATGAAACTTTTTCATTTAGATTTTATTGGTTTAGGTCATTAAATATTTTTTTCATTATTTTGTCAAGGTTACTATTTTCGCGGACGAAGTCGCGGGTACAGTAATAGTACTTATATAAAATTGTCGTGTCACAATCTTAGTTACCATACTCCTATGAAACGACTCGACTGATTTTTATGAAATTTTATATGTGCTTATTCAATACATCTGCGAATCGGCTACTGTCTGTTATTCGGACCCCTAAATGGTAATGGTTGTCCATCCTTAATGCATTTTAAACATTAGGTACATTATCATATTTATTAATTTTCATTATCTATAAACAACCCTTATTTTTTAAAAGCGATTTTAATATATATGGCAAAACAACGTTTGCGGGGTCACATAGTTGTAGTACAATTTTTATTTATTTATTTATTTATTTATTTTTCCACACTTACATCTATTTTTACAGGTCTTAGCCTAATACAATAGTGCAGCAAACATTATTTTTTAAATTATTTATAACTTATAATAAATAAAGCGATCTTCGTGAACTCATTCAGAGAACAAGAAAATAGATCTATTTGCTCCGTTATATGATTCAATGTACGCAGTGCTCTTGTGACCGGTGCTTTGCCTAGTAAGTGTGTGGCCCCGCGCGGCACAGCCAGCAGTTGCGGTCGACGGCGACTTTGTAAGACTGGAAATATGTCTTGAATCGTTTTGGAAATTACGCATTACATATTTTTACTCATACATTTAGCAGCTATAGCTGTACCGCTCATATTCACATCATGTTCCTTTGTATCAGCCGGATGGTAAAAAGAAATCTGTTTACATATGAGACTCAATACTCTTATCTCAGAAATGAAACAACGATTACAGAGATAAATTTATGATTTAATAATTAAAATATAACAAACGTCACTCTTCAACAGCTCGTGCCCAAGTCACCCATAATCAACGAAATCAACCACTCCCAATAACAGATCTTATTCACGAAATATATACTGACGGCGTGATTGACTGGAGACTGACAGTGTCTATTGTCCTAGAATGACACTATCAACGTATGTATGACATGACACAAGGCTATAATCTTACTTAGTATTGTCGATACATATATTTACAATCATATATTACAAGTAAATGATGCAATCCCGAATGACGAGGTTGTTATTTTCTTTTAACATTGTAACTAACCTACAGTGTTCCCGCGCAGTGTGCTCAGTAAATCTGCCGCATAAATGTTTATATTTCTTGATGATAAACTCGTATGTTTGCGGAATTGTAGGTCCCTCTAATATTCATCATCTGCTACTTACATTGAGGTTTGCCTTCTAATTTTCAAATTCCTTAAATGCATTTCCCTGTATTCATGATTAGGGAGATAGGGATCTGTCAGGTTCTCCATACACGCACAACATGTAATTATGCCTGTCTTAGGATTCTTCGTATAAATCAATGATCGGTTAACGGCCAATTTATGTAGATTATTGTCTACGTGATTAACCATCGCCACTTCACCTGATATGAGTATGTTACAAACAATGCAATGAAAAGATTCAATATTTGTTTGTACTTGTGGATACTGAAATGTTTATATTAGAAATTAGTATTTGTTTATGTAATGATACAACAAACTACTACTTGGACACGTCAAGAGGAGCGTGAGGACTTTGATTAAAGGTTTTTAATATGAATGTGGGTGGAAAAAAGTGACCAAAGAAAAGATACTCTCTTCCGGTTACACCTACTGTTTACATGAATTCCTATTGACAAAAACACATGTACCGTGTCATAAAATGAATATTTTTTTGTAAATACGTTATTTGCCTTTCTGTAGGTTGAGAGAATAAATAATATATATTAACACATACCGTCCGATGTACAAAGTTTAAATAAAAACAAAATATATCTCTGGAACTTACCCTCGCAAATTTTCTTATACATTGTGCATTATATATAGGGCCCGTTATATATTTTATATGGTTCATATTCTGACAATGTACCACTATATCAGCTTCTTTATTCAGCATAATGTCACATAATAAACACCTCCAATTTATATTATAATTCCTCGTTATTCCATTAAAATTACGAATATCTACTTGATAGAAAAAGAAGTCAAAAACTACATGTAAATATTTGTTTTCTAATATGTAAAGATAAGATTGTGACTTAAGTTGATTCATATGATTAGTATAATTAATATAATTAATATGTTGCTGCAATACAGATAACTCTTCATCTTCACTTGTCATAGTAATAGCAGGTACTTTGTTATGTGGACTAACTTTTTTACTTGGTTTCTACTATTAACTTCTGTTGTATTGTTATTTTTATTATTAACAAGCACATGTACTGTAGATATTGTAGTATCGATTTTGCTAAGTTTACTTTTGTTTTTGTATATATCAAATAAGTTGGATAACAACTCGTCATGTTTAACTGCATCAGCGTGTTCTTTTGTTGATGTGTGATATATTTTATAATTAGCGTCAATGGAAACTGCGCACGCGCCACAGAAATTGTAACTAGAGTCACTGGTTGAATAATTTGGTAGTACTGTGAACATGTTTTCTCTAGCTCTCTGTATTGATACATTTGCTATTTCTAAACATGTTTTGTGTTTCAAGCTGTCATTGTGTGATTTCCAATGTATATTTGGAACTGTTACGTCACATATTATACATAAGTATGTACTTGATTCAGCGACACCTGTTAAAAAAAATTAAAATGGTATATTGAAATTGAAGATTGTAAAACTGTAACTATTTCAGTCGCCAGGCAGATTGCTCTGTTAATTGTTTCGATTTCGTTTTGTAAGGGATTTGCCTAAAGTCGATTGTTTCAAAATATTATTTATTTATTTAATCATATATAATTAATATGTGGATGTATATAAATAAGTATGTAGGTAACATTGCTATTTATGCACTTTTGCCATCTCTTAGGTAGTTCATTGATCCCTTTACTAAAAAAAAACATTCGGACGGGAATCAATAAAATCATTGAAGGCGCTTTGGACTGTCCCATCGGAGTTGAATTTGTTCCCTTGCAAGAAGTTATCCAAATTTCGAAAAAAATGGTAATCTGTTGGTGCAAGTTCCGGGGAGTACGGTGGATGAACTTTGATAAAAAGGTGATTAGTTTTGAAGGAAAAATTTAGATTGTGATAGACCTGTAGCTCTCATCACAATATTTGCAAAAGAATTTCAGATAGTAATTTATAATAACCTTCTCTCCTATTCAGAAAAATATAAAATACTCGCTAATGAGCAAAATGGTTTTCGAAGAAATACATAAAAACATTAACTTAGCTATATATAATTTTCTTAATACTTTAATTACTAACACTGATAAGAAAATAATCACGAAAAGATCATGTCAATCAGGACATATTGATAAAAAAAATGGCGTCATATGATATAAGAGGAATTATCATTAACGAAATGTAATATCGTTCTCTGACCATTGAACAAAATAAGTTGTATATTATATTAATAATTTAATTTATAATAGGTATATAACATGTCGTCATAAAGACTTTTTATTTTTTTATAATAACAAATTCGTTACAAACTTTTGTATGGCTGAAGATAAATTTTATCTA